CACAGACATCTCATACAGTAGAATTTACTTTTTTAAGGCACCTTCTGCCTTCTGCACTGCAAATGCCCCAGAGCTAGAGAGTAATACCAAAGGATCCTTTTGAAATGCAGATCTTAAAACAAAACAGAACAAAACAAAATGAGAATCACAAAACTCTAATAATGCCAGTAGAATATCTACACGCTTTAAAAATATAAAACAGAAATAATTTTTAAATTTGTCTTTATTTTTTCACACATAGTAAAAGAACAAGTAAAGGAAAATTTCACAGATGAAGGAGATGAACTGCTTAAAATGGGCATCAAGATTCTCCAGGAATCTAAAAGCCAAAAACAAAAAGCAGAGTAAGTCTTGATCTAGTTACCTTTGTCAAATTTTATTTCCAGGTTAAGAAAAAATTTTAAAACTAGGTATGGTGGTACATGCCTATAATCCCAGCACTTGAGAGGCTGAGACAGGAGCATCACATGGGGAAAGCTAGTTGGAAGAAAAGTTATCAATGGAAAAAGCTAGTTGGAAGAACAGTCAGACTTACAGATAGTCTTCTAAATTTGAAGCCGGTCTGAACTACATAACAAGACCTTGTTTCAAAAAAAAAAAAAAAAAAAAAACAAATCTAATTTATCATTAAAAACTTATTGGGATGGCAAATAAGCGTATTCTCTTATAAGCTTTTGTTTTTTAAAGGATCAAAGGGTAATTTAAATTATTGTCCTAAACAAGAGAATCGCATGTGAGATTAGGGATCCTTTACATTAAGTGAAATGCAAAATTAAGGCACCGTTCTGAGTGTTCAAGCAAAAGTATTCATTTGGCTTTAATTTAGTGAATATTTCAAACAAAGTAAAATGTGTTATTTGAATTAGAGCTGTTGCTGTTTTAGCATGTTTTATTTTGTCTAACTGAGCATTGGTCCAATACCTTATGGTTTTCAAAACACTTTCATGTGTGTGATTCCATTTTATCCCCAGATCAATCTTAAGAGGAAAGAAGTACTTCATTTTCTTCCTTTAAAATATTGGGAACAAAAACTGAGATTTTAAAGTGATTTGACTACAGAATACATTTGGGAGATGCCCAAGCTGTGACTACATGGTCTTACTCCACGCCCATTCTTTCTCTTTCCATTTGTCTACCTTGTCTAGAGAGAGACAGAAATACTCCTTCTCCACTTCCCCCAGTGGAGGGGCACAACTTGTGGTTACCCTTTAAGGCTCTAGCTAAGACCTTGGGATCAAATTCTAACTCTCATTCACTGGCTGTATGGTCCTGGGAAAGTTTCTAAGCATATTTGTGCCCTCAATAATGTTGTACAACCAAGCTCTTAGAACAATGTGTGCACCTAATTATCAGGCAATGTGTTTGTTGTTTGTATCTCTAATGGAGACAAAGATACCAAGTGTGTTTTTTGTTTGTTTGTTTGTTTGTTTGTTTGGGTTTTTTTTCCAGTACTGGGGATCAAACTCATGACCTCATGCTTGCCAGACAGGCGCTTATGCCACTGAGCTAAATCCCCAACCCAGCAAGTATGTTTTTGAACTGTAGTACCTAGAAGAGACAGGCCCCAAGTTCCAATAAGACAACGTCTCTTCTTATCATACAAAACAGGGACAACAGCCCCAAGCAAGCATCCCAAAACTGTGGTGGCCAGTCCTAAACAGAACAGCAGAATCTGTAAATCCTCTCCTAAAACCTTCAGCAGAAGCATAAAGGAAGAGGAGTGCACAACTGTGATCCTGGTTAAAACATCAACTTCTGTTATTCACTACTTTGTGTCAATTATTTGTCCAAGGGCCAATTAAGAAGAAAACATTGAGGCAGATTTTCTCCAGGGAAAGTTGAATCCACAGCTATTTGCCAGAACAAAAGAAATAAGTCCAGCAAAACCCAGGCATCTCACTAAACAGTCTTGGTCATGATGAGATGGAGTAAAATCAAACACCAAAATATCTTTTGAGAAAGTCCTCTCATAATGCATTCACTGAACTCATGAGTAAAAATAGAGAATCTTCAGCTTAGTGGAGCTTGATGAGAACTATGAAGTTCTGAGAAGATAGCCCCTGGGGTTTCAGACAAGCTCTGCCTCTAGGAGAAAAGCTTAAGGAAAGGAGAAGCCAGCTAGTGCATCCCATGCAGTCCAGTGAAACTCTGGCTAGCTTCAGCCTAACCCACAAAATAACTCTTAGAAGTTCCCAAGTAACTGTCTGCTTAACAAGGAAGTTTTCCTATTTGCCTTAAAGAACAAGGAGGAAACTGGAAAAAAACAAACAAAACAATCCTAATGTAAATCATCTGTCAGTGTGGGGACCACTTTGCGAGGCTATTCTTAGCCAGACCTTCCTGATCCAGTCCGTGCCCAAGAGTGACAGCTGCTGTCTTTACTCAGCATAGATATGTCCATGGGTAGGAGTAGCTAAAGCTTCTGAATCCTGTGAGTTTGTAGTCATGGAGAAATGAAACCAAATCTGCTCATATCAAGACATTCCAAGAGTTTGTGGGGAAGTTGGGCAAAGCCCTTCGTGCTGTTAGGATACCTTGTTCTTGCCTTAAGCTGGTCACACCTGTATAGTCACATCTAAGATTCGGGAGGGTGGAGAGAAAAGTAAATGCATGTCCTTCTGATTGAAGGGGAATCATTTCATTCTCGCTTGTCCCTCTATCCTACCTCCTTGCTTTGCTAGTTTCTAAGATGAGATGGCTTGGGAAGGAATACTAGTCCTTTTGGTTCACCCACATCCACATTCTGGACCAATTAGTTAATTCATTTATTTTACTTATATATTCACTTATTTTACTTATATATATGGATATATATTCTTATATGGATATATAGATGATATATTCATATATATGATACCTATATTCATATATATGGATATATAGAGATGATATATTCATATATATGGGCATTCATATGTGAATATCTATATTCACATATATTCTTATATATGAATGGGAGCATTGTTGAATAAACCAGTGCTGTTAAAAATATTTTGCAATCATTTAGCACCAACCTATTTGAGGTAGTCAGGAAACCTTGATGACAGCCATGGTTGGTTCTTCGTTCAAGTCATTCACTACAAGCACAGAAGGTTTGGAGATCAACTACTGCTCCACTCCAAGTTACTGATGTTCTGGAAAGACATTTAGCTTGACCTCTCCCAGCCTTGATATACCCACCTTCTACCCACATTAGTATCCAGTGCCAGCTCCTTTAGAGATGATCTAGAGAGCAAGATAAATTGTATGTGATCTGGCCCTGTTGCCCAGTTTCTCCCACTTTTTTGCCTCTCGAGGATTTCATCCAAGATTTTAACCTTGCCTAACCAGACACAACTTTCTTCAGCCCTGGATTCTGCTTATAGGATCCCTTTCCTCACCTTGGACTCCCCTTACAGGAAAGCCATGTGCACATCCTGCCTGTGGAACCAAACACACTTACAAGGGTTTTTTGGTAGCCTATTGCTGCCCTCCAGGAGCAGACTAGATATACTGTCTGCAACGTGGAGAGCCCCCACAGCCCATCTCAAGCTTCTGTAGCTTGGTCCTTGGTACCCTTCTCATCCCAGTGGATTAGACAGTTGTAGCAGCCACTATCTATGTGATAGAAGAGTTTAAGGGACTCTGTGTCTAATGCCAGGCTCTCTTCCTAATGCCTAACCTGAGTGCCAGACGTTGCCTTTTGGCCTCCCAAATCAGTTTGCATTGACCATGGTTCATTTCTTTTTGACCTCCTACATTTCTGTTTTCTATCTCTTTTTGTTCCATTGGAGTCTGTATTGACATCCAGGACTCTAATGCCTACGTCTTTATCTGAAACCTTTCTTGCCTGGTCTACACCACTCCAACCTTTGCTCAAAAGCAGCTTCTTTTAGCATCAGTATGGATAAGCTCTATATTAAATTGAATCTCCTGATCATTCTGCATTGGAAGCAATGGCAAATGCATGTGTATTTTTCTGTATTTGAGTACCTGAATCAAGGTCATAGATAGAGGTTGATTCTTTCTTGTCACTGTCAAAAAAGCAAGTTCTAAAAGTAAAAATAAATCCCCAAAGTACTTTTTGTCTCTGGCACATATTTTGACCTTGTGAAATTCTCCATCACTACTTTGTTACCTTGAGCAGATCTAGGTGAATTTTGATTTGGACTAAAAAAGTACAGTGTAAGGTACCCTACAACATCTATATTTATAAGCACCAAATTTTCACACCATTTACCACCTAATTTCAGAACAATTAGTATACACTATAAAACTGTAGAATCAATATATTGGCTCCAATGGTAACAGCTCGATTTACTGAGCATTTGATCTGTACCAAGGGCTCTGTCAAGTACCTCACAGGGATTATCTCATTTAATCATCACAGAAATCCATCAAGTAGGTGCTACTATTATTTCCATTTTATAGCTGAAAGAGCACAGAGAGGTTAAATAACTTGACTGACTATGTGGTGGAGCCAGGGTTTGAATCCAGGGGACCAGAATCTAGAGCCCTAGCCATTAAAGGTTTGTTCAGTTTTTCATTTTCTAAACAGTATGTATGATCTGTTTTAGAAAATTATTTTGGAGTATGAGTATATCATCATTCTCATGATAAAAACTTCCTAGATGTGGCATTGCAATTTTGATTATTATATTTTTCAGAATTCATTTTTATTAAATAAGTATTTGTAAATGATGAGGATGGACATGAGAGAGTTCCCTATTTTAAGACTGTCGAAATCTTTTACTTTACTTGGGATACAGCCTTACAGCATAGTACATCGTATATTTTCCCTTTTTAGTGATTTCATTATCTGTTAGGTTTTTGAAATTATAACCTTAGGCTGATGTAGAGATGAAAGAAATACACTAGCTCAGAGATGTCTTGGGCTTCAGTTAAACTTCAATGACACCTGGGTTGGACTTCTAAGGGGGAGGAGTCATATGAAGAAAGGAGCAGGAAAATTTACTTTTGAAAATCAACCTTCTGACTTTATATTCTTGAAACAGAGCCTACATGATTTTTGCCAAAGCAGCTGGCATGGGAAACTTGAAAGCTATGGAGAAGATGGCTGATGCTTTGCTATTTGGAAATTTTGGCCTGCAAAACATAACAGCAGCTATCCAATTATATGAGTTCTTGGCTAAGGAAGGATCACATAAAGCCCAAAACGTGAGTTGCAAAAGAAAATACAACCTTAAATAGCTATAACCTGAAATAACTACAGAAAAATAAGTATAAAAAAGAACTGAGCAATAGTATTCACACTCTACTGCATGGACCCAGACCCAGGCAGGTTACCATAATGCATGGAAATTGTAGTGTCAGGGTAGGAACCCAGCACGAGCCCTGGTGAATTGTTCTAGCTCTGTGGGTGACTTTCAGGAGCAGAACAGAACTGCTGTCTAATCCACCTGCCTATCTTTCATATCCATATATGTGTGTTGAGATCATTTGAGACCTTTTAGTCCCTAACAGTTAAATTTGTATAGAATGTATTCACCTATAAAAAGATATGTGAAATTAATCTATTATCTTTGGGGGTTAGGTTTGTCTGATTTTTATATTTCAAGTATCACATACCTAAATATATTCCTCTTTCTATTTCAATAAATGTGTTTCATTTTATTCCATGAATAACAACCATTTCATAGAAAATCTGGAAAACAGAGAAAAAAAGCCCTTCACAAGCCAATCATTCTGACTCAGCTAGTCTGAGGTCTGCTTTGTATTTTCACTTGGCTTCCTTCTCTGTATGTCTCTCTTTATATCATCCTAATTACAACTCAAGTGCATATATCATTTTGTTTCTGGCTACTTCTACTGAATGTTGTAACAAAAGCATGTTTTACTGTTATTATAGTCTTTTTATGAAAAAAATTATTACGAAAGAAATTCATGCCCATTAACCAAAAAAAAAAAAAAAAAAAAAAAAACCTGAGAATTTTGAAAATGTAAAAAAGGAAGCTAACTCAAAGCTTTCTACATAGAGATCTTTTTTTGTTACTTTTCAATACAGTATAAAGACTAGACTTTGGAATCAGAAAAGACTAACTTGGAATCCACTGTGACATTTTCTTGTTGCACAAGCTACTTAACAAAACATTTTCCCTTCCTTTGTATGAGAATTTGGCCTTTGGCTCACTCTCTAGCTCTCTTTCCAGGTAATCTGATGAGAATAAAATGCTATGTTTTTAGCTAGTATTGCTTGTGGTAGAAATGGCTGTTGATTGGCAACTTGCCTTCGTGATGAACTGTAAAACCCCAGGGAGACAGTACTTCCTGCAGGGGCTCTATGTACTTGAGTATGAAGTTGTTGCATGGGGAAATGAGGCTTTTACATAAGGGAGGCATTCGCATCCCCTCGTATGCATCCAAGTCACCTTCTGAGAGCTCTAAGACAGTGGCTCCTGGAGGACTGTGTGACCTGCTCTAAGGACTCCCACTGAAAGAAAGGCTGATGCTGCCCTGTAGGACCATGGCTCCTGTGCCTGAGCCACCTGATAGAATAGAGACAAATGCACTCTCTGTGAATCAGTATTTTGAGTTGAACCACAAAATATTGGTTCAGTCAACCTTGATGGGTGGGAAGGCTCTCTAACCATCATCTGTAAAAGTGAAGATAATGGTAAAATACTGGGCACTGTGCCTGGTTCACTGGTATATCTCTAATATTTACCACAGTATCTGGTACAAGAAATACACATTAGACAAAGTATTAATTAATGATGAATGCCATAATGAAGTTATTGCGAGAACTAAAACAATGTATGAGGCACTCAGTTTCATTACCTGTAGCATGGTAATCCATTATATAATAAAAGGACAATGGTGGGAAGGATGGGAATGGGGAAGGATAAAAAGTTTCAGTCAGAAGGAAGATATAAATATTATTGTTACCACACACCCACTATTATTCTAGAATTTTTCTATGAGTTTATAGAATTATTTTTTTATAAAAATGAGACACTTATTTGCTACTCCATGACTTGTTCTTTATTTAAATTATCATAACTATCTTTCCATGTAAATATATATAGATCAACACTGTCAACTTAAAGATCCATACAGCCTTAATTAACTTAAGTTGTTGAATGCCCTTTTACTCCAGGAAATTTTTCTTGCAGTTACATGTGCTATAACTCAGTAAGCTGATTTATAAATGTTATGATAGAATATGAGAAACGTTAAGCCTTTAGTTCCTGTATTTGGGTAACCAAACTATAAAGTTCCAAGATATCAAACTTCTAAGAAACGTCATTGTTTCAACCATTGAAAATGATATCACCTAATTCCTTCTCAAACCAGACAGTTATACTTTATTTTTCAGTTGGTATATAAATTAATTAAACCAATATCCACTACACTTCAGTTAAGGCATGTATAAAGTGCTAGGCACAGAAGAGAGTCTGACTAGTTCTGCCTAGAGCAAGTAAAGACCACTTCAAAGAAAAAATGACATTTATGTTCAGTATAGAATATTGGATAAAGATAACACCAAAGATATTACTCATCTGTATCTAAATAAAGCATTTGTTTCAAAGTCAAAGCATTACTCTCAGAGAAATTCCAAATTAATACAAATATCCATAAAACACATGGATTTAGAGTTGAAGTCAAAGTTTAACTCTTCTTTGTAGGGTTACGACTAGATATGGCTCATATCTAGGCATACCCCACAAAGCTTCATGTGGTCATACATGGGGTCTTTCAGAGGTGGTTGGAACTAGGATGTGTGATGCTGAGATTAAGGATGTGATGCTAGTATTTAGGGTGTCCCACCCTGGGTATAAGTGCTACCCAACCAAAAGGCAGGTAACGTGGATGGAATACAAGGGTTAGAAAGAAGGTTTGCTGCTGTTTCTGTTTTGCTCCTTGCTGCTGCAGTCTTCTGCTTGCTATTCCATGAACTGTCTATCCTCTGCAGTGTCCCTCTGCTGTGTCATCCTGCCTTAGAGCCAACCAACTATGGACTGAAACTTCTATTAAGTGTAAGCCAGAATAAACCTTTCCTCATTTAACTTTGGGTGTTAAATATTTTGTCTTAGTGATGAGAAGAGTATTTTAAGACAGATTTTGGAACTGAGAAATGGGGCTATTCCTGTGATGGCACCTGCACCTGACCATTTGTTTCAGAAGCCCTTGGGAGTGCCTAGTGGGAAGATTTTTCGAGATGCCAGCTGAAGAAGAGCCCTAGAATGCTTGAAACTGTACTTGGTAGGAGACAGAATTGCTGCTCAGAAAAACCAAGCAGAAGAGGTTTCTGTTGTAAAGAAGGACTGCATTGACTGTTGGACTATCGATCATGTGTGTTATATTCGAACAGAAAATTTGCCCTCATTTTGCTCTTGTCCAGAGACTACTTGAAACTGAGATTGAAGGCTGCAGACTAGGCCAAAGGTGCAGTGGAAACCCTGGAAAGTTGAAGAAGCTGGGAACATGGATCATCTGAGGAAAACTGCAGAGAGAGCAGAGCCTGAGCAAGAGAGAAGCCATGGGAGCTATGCACCAGCAGTGCCATAGGGGCAGAGCCACCCAAATCCTTTGGAGTTCACATCTTTCCACAAATTGCTCTAGATGCTAGATATGCAACCACAGGACTTAATGCTTTCTTGGGCTGGATTTTGGACTTGCTGTTCCTTTCTATCCCTCTATTTGTACCTTTTGGAATGCTAATATTTATCGCATGCCATTATATGTTGGAAGTGTTTAACTTTCATGTATACAGGGACTCCCAGCTAAGAGTTTGCCTTAAATCTTAGAGGAAACTTTGAATGTGGACTTTTTAGCAATACTGAAACTGTTAGGAATTTGGCAAGTCTTAGAGATGGACTAAATGACTTTTTCATAAAGGGATGTGCATGAGTCTTTGGCAGGCTGGCGTGAACTGTTATGGCTTGTACCTAGATGCCCCCTCACAGTCTTATGTGGTCATAGCTGGGGCTTTTCACAAGTGTCTGTTTCTAGGGTATGTGATGCTAGGATTAAATTGTGTGATGTTTAGACTAGGTAGCATGGAATATAAGGGACAGAAAGAGGACTGATGCTGTTTCTTTGCTACTTTTCTGCCATGCTCTTTCTGCCTACCATGAATTTATTTCCTCTGCAATGCTCCTCTGCCTTGCCATGCTGCCTTAGAGCCAGCCAACTATGGACTGAAATCCTTACAAAGCACAAGCCAAAATAAACCTTTCCTGCTTTAACTTTGAGTTTTGGATATTTTGTCTCAGCAACACAAAAATTAACTCATATAGGCATAGAAAAGAGTCTGACTAATTCTGACTTGAACAAGTAGAGAATGCATCAAGGGAAAAAGTGACATTTGTTTTTAGTCTAGAATATTGGATAAAGGCAATACCAAAGATGTGATTTGTCTGTATCTAAAGTATTTGCTATAAAATCAAAACATTAGCCTCAGAAAAGAAATTTTAAATTAATGTCAGTAGTATGTAAAACACATGGATTTAGACTGAAGTCAAAGTTTAACTCTACTTCATGTGGATAATACTCCTAGTTACTTTAGTCAATATAGTTATTTTTAGTCAGTATATCTTTAGTTATCATGATTAGTGGAGAGCCTCAGGCAACTCTCTAATCCAATCTCTTGCTACTGGTTTTAAGGAGAATGAGATGGAAGAATATAATTGGATGAGTACTAACCTAATGTCAGAAAGAACAACTCTCAATGTATAGTCACTAGCCATGTATTGTCATCATCACTTTTTTGGAGAAAAGCGGGCATTGTTGGGAATGTTCTAGGAAAATTCTAGTTACAGGCTTCAAAATGGGATGGTAACAAAGAACAGTGAGCTGTTCCAAAAGAGAAAGTTTGACCATGCAATGTGACTCCAGGTCACAAACCACCAGCTTGTCCAGCTTTTGTTCATTATGTCAGTATCTCTGAAGAAGTTTTTTCAAACCTCAGATTCCCCAAAATCAAAAAAGTATGGATAATAATGCCCTCCATTTTTCCAAAAGAATTGTAAGAACTGAATAATATCTTTAAGAGCCCATATAAAATGTTAAAGGACATTAATGAAGACTGCTGTGTAACAACTTCAGTCTCAACAACTCTGTCAGTCCCTACTCTACATTTCAGCTCCAACACTGGCCCTCTGTGACTTGTCCTGAGTCTCAACTTCTTCATCTGTAAAATAGGAACAGCTGTATGT